GCCACTGTTTTGGGCGTGGATAACCTGAATGCTCATTCCTAGCAAACAACAGTTTCATACAAAATAAAGGATTGTTTACATAATAGGCGGCGTCAAGGACTTTATCAAGCACAGTGAAGGGGTGACCTGGCCGCTCAAGTTCAGTGAACAGTAACGTTTGTCAACGATAAGCTACTGCAGTGAAGGTTGTAGATTATTCAGATAATCTACGACAAGCTGTGCGAGGTTTCAGCTTAATCAATTCAAACACAAAGAAGTATTCAGGAAACACCTTGGACCAATATTATTGGATTTTATATACATGCACAGATAATTATAGCCATGATAGAAGAAGATCGATCAAAAGATGCTAAATCGGGAGAAGGAATCAAACCGCATTCGGCAGAAAAATCGACTGATGAAAAATCTGGTGACATGAAACCAGTTGAAGATAGAAAAACTGGAGAAAGTGCTTCGAAAGAAATAGTTCCAAAACCTGAAACAGTTGCTTTACATCAACAAAAAATTATGTACCTGAATACTCCTTGTGCTTGCAGAAGTCTACAGAAGGGAAACTTAGTTCTGAGGAAAAAAGAGGTCAGATCTCAGCAGAAAAGGTCCTGAAAGATGAAGATGTTGATAAAAAGAAATTAGGTGAACAAGAGGAAAAGCAGGAACAAGAAAAGGTGGGGCAGTTCCTCATGTATGAATAGGTACATCACAACACGCTAACGAGAACTTCGTTGTGAGAAACAGATACAGCACGCAAACAATCTACTGATTTTATTTGCAGAAAAGAGGTTCTATTTGGAAAATGTCAATATTGATAGCCGTTAATTTACTCAACTACATGGATAGATTTACCTTACCAGGTATCCGTAACAGTTCCATTCTTTCACTGTCTACTTTAACACGATTCAAGGAGTTTTATCTGATGTGCAAAAATTCTACGATGTTAACAATGCCCAGGCTGGTTTGCTACAAACCGTTTACTTGATATTCTTTATGCTAATATCGCCAGTTTGGGGTTTTCTCGGAGATAGGTGAGCTTGTAAGATGATGAGTCAATATTGCTTTGCTTTTAAAAAATGCTTTAGATATAATAGAAAGTATCTAATGATGGGCACTCTGCTCCTTTGGACATGCACAGTTTTGCTCTCAACTTTCATTCCGCAGAACGTTGGTTTCATTTTATTATAGCATAGTTCGCCGTCCATGCCCACAGCAATATATAAATACCAGTGGCGG